ACAATTCGTAGTACTCTCCAGGAACTTCCCGTTGGTGGGCAACGCTGCCATTCTTAATACAGAATCAGGTATTGGTTCCTGACTTCGTATTCTCCTCGAACTTTGTATCGACCCTCAGCTTTTTCAGCAAAACTGAGTCCAATGAGGAGCGCATTATTTTTTAGCCATGTTGTTAGGTTATCCTTAAGAATATTATGTGTAATATTCTATAGGAACTTCCTATTGGAAATAAGAGAAGCGGTTTAACCTCATATACCCGTTGGAGGAAAGGGAACAGTTTAGCCTCATATACCAGTAGGATGATAAAGGAGAAGCAATTTATACTCTTGTACTCATCGGAGTCAAGGGAGAAGTTTAACCTCGTATACCTGTCGGGGGTTCATGGAGAAGCAGATTATACTCATATACTCTTCGGAGTATTGGAGAAGCAGTTTATACTCGTATACTTGTTGGAGTCCGGGAGAAACAATTTATACTTGTATACTCTTCTGAGTAGTTGTCGTCCTTATTTTGCTTATTTTGTCGTTATGATGTCGGCGTCAACCAATGTTTGGATTTTGTCTTTAAGAATAAAGCAAAGCCTTAGTGAGAGATTATTGTGGCAAGTCTGGAGTATGAACTCCTCTGTGGACGGATCTCGACAGTTCATCGCCTTATTTCAGAAGCGTTTAACGAATGTGTCGACTGACTCTCCGCTCTTCTGCTTCTCATCCAAAAGGGTTCCAATTGACACATCGGTGTCGTCATCGAAGAAGTTGCTGAGGAACAGATTTTCCATGTCGTCCCAGCAGTTGACGCTCCCTGGCTTAAGACGTCGATACCAATCGAATGCGGCCCCGCACAGGATGCCCACGAATGGCCGAATCATCAAATGTTCATTCCCAGATATTATACCTAAACGGGATTTGAAGTAGACCAAGTGCTGGGTTGGCGAGCATTTCCCGTCGAATGGCGTGAAGTTGATTAAATTGAACTTCGATGGGTACGGAATTGACTCTCACTCCCTTGGGTATGAACACGGAATGATGGTCTTCTTTACTTCTTGAACGGACATCAAGGCATTCACCTTATTCTCCAGCTCTTTTATCATCTCGTCGTTGCATTCATCTCTCTTCGAACGATGTTGAGAAGAAGCAATTGGGCCACCCTCAGTGTTATTGAGGGGTGCACTTGATCTACCCCCAATATTATTGAGGGGTGCATCAGCCTTGATGACTTCGTCCACTTCTGGATCACTGTTGTCCGCGACATTCTGAGTGCAACGGCTAGATTCGGCCCGCTGATTGGTCTCAGGTGGTTGTGAAGTCTTTGAGTTTGTAACTCTCATTTGTTGTATAGCCAACTCTATATATGTTTTCATTTCAGCTCTAAACTCTTCTTTTTTACTTGGCTAGAGCGTCTTGAAGTGAATTTGGGCTAATTGGTCCAGCGTGATAGTGAACGCCTCTCTGTTTAGTCCCATGCTAGACATTGTTTCGTCTGAAGAGACCGCGGAGCAAGCGTCTGATACTTCATCTCTGAGGATATTCCTCTATGCATCCTTTGATAATCCCTACGTCTGATCGTTCCCTATTGGAGCCGAGTTAGACGCTGGGATATTCCAGAATAAGAATCAGGACTGGAGTTGGTTGAACGTCGTTTTTCTTTTATCTGTCATGTTGATGGTGACTTCTTGGAGTTCATCATCTTGAACAGCTGATTTTTTTTTGCGGAAACGCCTTGGCTTGGGCTTCGACGCTTTAATAGAAAGTCTTTTAAATATCGATACCCTCTACGGAGCGGTCTTGGGGCAGCTACATTCTGGTAATGCTACCTTGATAAGTCTCTCGCACGAGCAATGAGAGTTCGTTTCTCAGATACTTATCTTTCGAGACTTGTTCGCACCCCCTGTCTGATAGTACAACTCATCGGTATGATTGCCGGAGCACTCTATTGTTGGTGTGACTTCCCAGGTATAACGTCATCTTTTGATAGGCATGTTTTTTTCTAGGGATGTGACAGGAATCACACGTTTAGAACCACCCCCTTGCGAGTGTGGAGTCTTAACGGGCTCCTGGGCTTCAATACGCATCCCCAAGCGGGCGGTTACAGAGGTTTTCCCAGATGGTAATGGTTTTGACTTAACGGGAGGACGCGTACACCCCCAGTCTGAAGAGTCACTTGGGATTTATTCACCGGACCCAAGCGTTCTTTCATCGAAGCTTTGCCTCGATTTTCTTGCAGAGGACCAAGGCGATTTGTTATCGTAATTTTGAATTTTGACAGGTCAACACTAGCCTGAGGCTCCATCGGGGGTATGGCAGCAGACAGAGCAGGCACCAACATCGACGGAGGCGAGGAAGCGACCGCGGGGACACCTGTTGGCGTGAGACAGATGGATGTGTCTCGGCTTTGGCCGAGACACCTTGATGTGTCTCAAACTTAGTCGAGACACATGACTGTGTCTCGAGTCAGGGAGAGGACTTCTGTCTACTTTTGGGTCTTGATTCGGCGTGAGTCTGGATTTTGGCACCCATATTTTGCGAAATTTTGAATGTTCTTTAGCCACCTCTTTCTTTTTCATGACTTTCACTTGTCGCACAAGAGCACGCGCGCGTGCGGCACGTGCGCGGCGCTTCTGGATGTGCTGTTTCAGGGTTGAACGAGTCCTTTTGACGAGAACTCATTCCTCCGTCGATGGCTTGGAGGAAGTGACAGCAAATTGTCGTTGAGGAAGCTGGATTACCTGACGCTTCCTGAACTCCAAGTCTGTGTAATATCGAACCTCGTCGACTGATTCTAGGGACTTGGCGATTTGACGAGTGAGACGTTGGCTTTGCCTCTAACGAGCCCTCTTCGTCAGAATTGACGAACTTTCATCGAACAACTCCTTGAGTGGAGAGGAGTTGTCGCAAGCAGAGACTCCGACTTGGTTGGATGTCGGAGAGGCGTTGCGAAGGGAAAATTCAGCAACGATCGGGCGAACCTTCTTCAAAGACGAGATTCTCCTACAATTGCGGGGAGAGGGGGGTTTTGATGAAGACAATGAGAGATATTCTTCGAACTTAGCTTGGTCGAACTCGTACTCGAACATTGTATCAATTGGGATCTGGATCGGTTGCGGCACTCCAGTCTCGGCAGCGAGACCATTGGCTCCCACTGTGATCGTCAGCGCGTTTGCGTCGGAAATCATTTTATTAGTGGAATCCATTACAAGTCGTTTATCGAATTACAGATTCAAAAGAGTGAGCCTTTTTATAAGACTTCTCTACACAAATAAAACAAACAGAGACTTCCTAGAAACACACACAGAGATCGTTTATCGATCGCTGCTTGCGTGGGATCTTTGGCTATGTTAGGGACGCTTTGATCCGTGAACTGCCGAATAACAGATCTTGATTGATCTGAAAGAAGGCTCGGTGTTCTTTGTTTCAATCGAGGAAACTTCGAACAGAAGTGAATAACCTCAACAAAGTGAGATTACTACTCTTCTCAAGATCAAAACAAGGTCTAAACAAGGTCTGATCTAAAGGGAATGGGTGAAAAGCTTGCAGATCTTTCGAAATCCTCTCTTTATGCGTAGGAATTCGCCAAGATCTCACCTCCCTCTCTAAAATTCGTGGCTCTGCTCTCAAAACGTCAGCAACTCGCCTAAAAGCTCAGATCTCCTCAGTATTTGTCAGTCCCCTTCACAAATGGACGAAGGGGGTATTTATAGCACTTGAACACCATGTTTGTGGATAAGATCTCGTGATTTGGTCTTATCTTCAGTTAGAAATGATTTTTTCGCGTTTAGGATATTCCTAAAGCAGTTAGGAGGCCACTGGACCCGTCAAAACCGATCAAAACTCGTCGAAAACGCGTCTCGTGGCTTCATTCTGTGAGACAAGTCGGGGTGTCTCGCACATGTGCGAGACACCTTATTGTGTCTCGGATTCCGAGACAAAACACTGTCTCGGTATCCGAGACAGTTTGTACTGCATTCGGTATTTTGGCTTTCATTCTTTTATCCGATCTCGGAATGAGGTGATTCAAGTTGCGTTGGAAAGCTGACAAAGAGTCCTACAACTTTTGTCTTTTGAGCTCTTTTGGATTCGGATTGCATCATGGTCGAAATTTTAGTTCTTCATATTCGTGCATTCATTTTCTTCTCGAATCATGCATTCTAAATCTCGTTATTGCTTCGTCACTTCATCGCTTTGTTTTAGCGTCAGATGATCCTCTTTGAGTTGGATATTGATGTTAATCGTCTTTTCTTCGTCTCGGTCTGTGTTTGGGAACTTATAGGCAATTTTTAACGCCTACACTAACACCTTTGTTATACCATTAATCATATTATCTTCGTCTCGATCTATGTTTGGGAACTTATAGGTAATTTTTAACGCCTATACTAACACCTTTGTTATACCATATATAACACGTGTGTTAATTTGAACCAACTAAAATACATTCAATTAACCAATGTGGGACTAAAACTCGCATCCTATTTATTAAACACATTTTAATTTTCATCTATATATTTCAATCATTAAATTATATCTTTCCATAAAAGCCCTTTAAGATTCGTTTATTTCAACAATCACTAGCCAAACAAGTACCTATTACTTGAGAGAAAGTTTACTTATGTAAGCACCCTCGTGTTCACATCTATTCCCCTATAATAATGGGAGAATCTAATATTCAATATTTATGCTACAGTAAATATAGCACTGTAGCATTAACACTTAGCACGGACAGGGGATCCAATATTCACTATTCATGCTATAGTAAATTATTGTAGCATTATTATCGCATCACAGCGCGGGAAATGTAGCACTTAAAAACATATTGTAGTATTATTATTGTAACTCAGGTGATACACTGTAGCATTTTAAAAATGTTAATGTGGTACATACAAAAAACTGTATTTAAATACAGAATTACTGTAGCGGAAATAAAAAATAAAGGTCGTGCTCTGCACGGGTTGCACCCTGAATTGAGTTTTATTTCCGCGCCTTGATCAATCTCTTCAACATTTGCAGGTGAGGAGACGGGCAAGGTCAGAACTGGAATGTTTTCAAGAGCGATGGGATCGTGCGACCAGAGAAGATGAAGGCTGGGTTGATCCCTTCCTGCATGACCAAAGAAAGGACAAGAAACATGCTCGCATCTTGTAATCAGAATTCGCATTTAATGAGTTTCGTGCATGAGCAATTTATTAGTGCAATTTCATTTATTAATTACCTTGATCTCATTGTTTGTTTGTTTTTTTTTTTCGTTTTTTTTTTCGTTTTTTTTGTTGGGTAGCGTATAATACCTCTTAGGTTCAGGTATGCACGACTTAAAACATCCTAAGTAGTAAAAAGTAAAAAGTAGCGCTTTACTATTCTAAATTGTAAAAGATTGGCACATTAAATATTGTTTGTTAGTTGTCATATGAATATTCCTAGGGGGTGTTAGTCAATTGGGATATTTTCATGCAAAATGTGATAATTGTTAAAGTAAAATAATTTTTCGCTAGTGTGATATTTTAGTGGGATAAATAGGAATAATTTTGTGAAGCGGGATATTTTGATAAGATAACGTGAGACAAGTTTTTATAATCATGAAATATATATTTATGTATTTTGAATATATAAATACTATTTATATATTTTAAACTTACTACTATTGATTGATAATTACTTATAAGGATGTTCTTTACTATTAAATAATTTCGGTTAGATTATAAGATATTGTAATTATTATTATAATGATGGTCTAATGATGGTGATAGCCATAATAGGAAAGAAGTAGAGAAAAAAAAGAAATATAAAAAATAAAAAAATAACAAACTAAATATGAGTTTTAGTTTTTTACAACCTAGTTCCAAGCTAAAACTTGGAATAATTTGAGAGATTAGAACTCTTATTTTTGTATAGAAAAATAAAAAAAGTAGGATAATTTTGTACCATTCTCTTAATTCTAGTTTTGTTAGAGTTCTACTTGACTAACACTATAAAATTTTATTTTAGTTTTAGTTCTATATGATTAGCACCTTAAAATTTTATCTTACAGATTATCCCAGTTTTAATTTTAAGTTTTAGGTGACTAACCCCCCCCCCCCCCCCCAAAAAAAAAGAAATTTTACCCCCCCCCCCCCCCCCACAAAAAAAAAGAAATTTTCTTGATAACTAATAGAATATATTAAGTGTTGTTTTTTTACAACTTAGGATATCAAAGTATTATTTTCTTACAACTTCAGGTATTAAAATCTTTTACAACTTGGAATATTTAAGTATAAGTGTGGTGAACAATAAGTGTAATTTTTTTCTATAATTTAGGGTATCAAATGCTATTTTTTTACAATTTAGGTTATCCAAGTGCTACCTTTTGTAAGTGTATAGATGATGAAACAATAAGGTATTTAGGGGCTGTTTGGTTCGTTTCCTAAAAACCAAGAAATGGAAAGTTTTTTGGAAATGTAATATAATATTATTAGATTCCATTTCCATTCCAAAAAAACACCCACAACATCTAATAAAATATTATTTTCATCATCCAACTCATCCACAACATCTAATAAAATATTATTTTTATCCCCCAACTCATCTCATCTTATCTCATTTCTTACTTTTAAAAATAAATCAAACACAAGAAATGGGTCACATCATCCAAGTCACATCACCCCATCTCATCTCATCTTTAAAAATAACTCACATCATCCAATAAAAAATTGACAACTCATCTCCTCTCATCTCCATTTTTTTCTCTCTCCACATCCTCCAAAAAAACTTGGAAATGGCTTTCCAAAAGATTGGGTGACATCAACCAATAATATAATGACAACTCATCTCATCTCATTTCTTTTCTTAATTATAAGAAGGAACCAATCACAATAAAAGAATCTAAACAAGGAAAGCTTTTTCTTTTCCTTATTTTTTAGCCAACCAAACACAAGAAAAGAACCTCTAATAAGTTTTATTTTAAAATAACTCACATCATCCAATAATATGGTGACAACTCATCTCATCTCATTTCTTTTTCACAATAAAAAGTGAACCAAACACAAGAAATGGAAATGGTTTTAAAAAAGCGTTTCCTTTTCCTTTCATTTCCAATATTTTTAGCGAACCAAACAGCCCCTTAAGTGTCGTTTAGCCTGGCCCCGTTTGGCAAAGGGTTAATGAAGAGGGGTTAAAGAGAAGGATTAATGTACTTAGCCCATTTGATAATCCGAAGGACTAAATTATTAACCCGTTAAATAAGTTTTATTTTAGCCCTTATGATCAGTTTTAGTGTTTGGGAATAACAATGATTTTGACTATTTTCTTTATAATTAGAAGGGTTAACTCTTATTCCATCTAAATAGGAGTATTAGTAAACCCCTCATTTTGAGGGGTTAACTCATTTTAACCCCTCTAGAGTGGTTAACTTAACCCTTCTATATTTTTTATGTTTGGCAAATTATGGAGGGTTAACTCACTTTAACCCTTGTATAGATTTGTTGTGTTTTGCGGGTTAAGAAGGGGTTAAGTCTCCTTAACCCCTCACTTAACCCTTTGCCAAACGGTACCTAAGAGAATAACAAAAGTGTTCCTCGAAGTTCAGATATTACATTATGAGTCCCTGAAGAAGCCGACAATCTTTGCATAAGCCTGCCTCGTTCACTTGGAGGGTGTTTGAAGCCGGGAGGGTGTTTGGTTTCAAAGGTTCCACGGAGGTGGGATGACGTGGAGCGGCCTAATTTATTTGGATCTCATTGAATCAAGAAGGTCGTTCAAGCATATTTTTAGTTGTCTAATTGTTTTTCTTTTTTTAATATGGGACTGATTCTCATCTCGTGTTTTTTGCTAATTTGAGCCTCACAAATTGAACTATGGCTGTCAGACGCTCGTGACATATTTCTACTTTAGCTTCCAAGCGAATTGATCCCGGGCGGATGGCTAATTTCACAGAAACCCCCCTGAACTTTAGGAGGCGTTGCACATTACCCTCCCAAGCTTTCTACTTTAGCTTCCAAGCGAATTGATCCCGAGCAGATGGCTAATGTCACAGAAACCCCCCTGAACTTTAGGAGGCGTTGCAAATACTTTGGGGTGTCTCACAATATCGTCTTGAACTTCGAGCTTTTCTCACTACACCTCTCTCTATCACTCTTATATGTAATTTATAAATAACTAAAATTTATTTAAAAGAAAAAAATCTAAAATTATGGGGATCGCGTATGTTTCCCGTGAATGGCGAATGTAAAGTTCGAGAAATTTTTTTCTCTCAGGGAAATTTTAGTTATTTGTAAATTATGTGTAGGGTGAATCTGGTGAGAAAAATTCAAAAAGTACATGAGGGTTTTGTGAGACATGCAAAAGTTTAAAAGAGTTGCAAATACATTATTTGGTTTGCAAATCTGTGGTTAGGAAATGTAAATGGACTTGCATTTTGCACGAAAAACTTTCAACAAATGTTGTAGAGAATTTGGTGGGAGGAAAAGCTGTAGACTTTAATAAAAGGAAATTAAAAATAAATATAATTCTACATCACAAAATAATAGTAATAATAAATTCACATAGGAAAACCACCTACACCAAGTTTCTTTATATGGCAAGATTATGTAGTTTTTGCATCAATTGTTTTCTAACCAAACAGTGAAGTTGCATTGAAAATACATTTCTTATAATATAATTACAGATACACATACTACTAATGTGAGGTTGATTTCCTACAACATTTGTGGCTACAATATTTGTTGTAACTTATCTCTGCAGCAAACCAAGCATCTCCTACATTTGTATATGGAAATACATTTACCACAATAAAAGTGCAAACATCCAAACAAAAGAGTCAGTGTATAATTTTCTATAATAAATATTGCATGCAACATTTGCTGCAATCACAATCGCAGTATACCAAACACCTCATAAGTTGATGTCAAAATCTCTGATGAAGGGAGAGCAAGGGAGGTCGAAAAGATAAAAGAGCAAAAAAAGAAAAAAAGAAAGCTTATAAATCATTATGTAAAAAAATCATTTAAATTAATAAAAAATAACTATTCCAATTTATCTTCTAAAACTAATGACAAGGGTAAAATTTAGGGTATGTCAATTAATTATAAGGTAGATAAATAAATATCAGTATCAAAGAGATTATTTTCAAGGACACTTTTAAAAAAACAAATTTATACTTAATTATCATTTTCTAGCCATAGCCATTTTAAAATATATTTATAAACTGACTCATTTTCAGTCATGTCAGCACTGTACACTAAAAGTTGGTCAATTTTTTTAAAATATGCTTTTGAAATATCAAAGATTATTAGTTTTTAGTAAATAATATATTATCAATTACGAGCGATTCTCAATCTTGTGTGCCCTGAAACTTGTTCAAGATGAAAATAAGAATGATAATCTCGTGCATAAAATAGATATAGCCAAAACTTCTATTGAATAATCAAAATGACAATCACTCAATAAATAACCTTAAAGTAGTCAGGAATGGCAATCCCATGTACTTTTCGAATTCTTTTTCTAAATGGTTCTGTTGGAAACATAAGATTGTCAATCTTATGTTTTATTTGCCAATCCCATGTATTTATAATATTTTTTTAAAAGATTTATTAATCATCTGAGATTCGCTGAATTGACATATCCCCATTTGAAAAGGTCAAAGTTAGAAAAAGCGACTAATTTATATACGTCCCTCAAGCTCAAGGCCACCACAAGTTGTTTGTTGAAATTAAATTTAGGAAAAATTATGTCAATGCCCAAAAAATTAAAAGTCCTTTTGGCCCAACCCCTCCAATTATGGCCCACATGCTTAAGAGCTCAATTATTAGAAAAAAAATGTGGCTCAACCCCTTCAGCTTTAGCCATAACCCCATGTTATACGTATTTTGTGATCCAGAAAGCCGACTTCCCCCTTTCCAGCAATTCAATTTAACAAGCTCTACAAAGACGAGAATAAAATCAAGTGCCATAGCTTTTGTTTTGAAGTGCTTAAATTGAATTGCTGACGAAATTGAAAATTTAGGGGTTTATGTGGGGTCGCCTTCTTGTATTGCACCATGAACTTGAGTTTGTTACGGAAGATAGCTAAGAAAATTGAGATTAAGATTGGAATTTGACATGTTTGATTATGGACCCTAGGATAATTTGATAGCCTTATTGTAAAATTGATGTTTTTATGTTTTGAGATTATGATAATGATAAGAAGGATGAAACCCCTCATCGAGTTGTTTCTTAAGTTTTGAGTGTTGGCTTTGATGCCCACCAGAGGT